TTTATTTTGTCATTTTGTTCTTGTATTTTCTTCCAAAATTCCTCCAGGGTTTTTTCTGTTTTCTTTGGTCTGTCTCTCAATCCTTTGAAGATACCTAATCATAATTCTTTTGAATTCCTTATCAGAGATTTCCAATACTGCTTCTTCCTCAAGAATGTGTTCTGGGTCTGTATCCTGCTGCCTTGTTTCTACCACTTTATCCTGCTTCTTTGTGTGGACTGTGATGGTCTATTTTCTCCAAGGCATCATGACATTGTTGTACTTAGATATCTGTTTACTGTTTGTGAAGAGCAGCCAAGGATGATTCAGGCTCCTCTTGGTCATTTTTTATCATTGGTCCATTGGTGGAGAAGGTGGTAGTGGCTCTCAGTAAGTGAAGTTGCAGGAGGTATGGGTATAATTTTATCTTTTGGGGACTCTTTCTGTCTCCCACTCAGTTAGAAAAGATTACAATTGAATAACCATCAAAAAACTAAAAGCACATGGACCAAAAACACACCATGTAATCACATAGGAACAGTAACCAGAAAAAGAAAAAAGGGACAAAGAAGAAGAAAAAAAAGGAAACCTGCAATATCTGGGGATAGGGAACTAAGAGAAAAATGGTAGAGAAGGAGAATAATGAAGGAAAAAAAATGGGAAAAAAAAAGAAAAAACAAGGAACAGGGTTAACCATGAGAAAAAAGGGGGTGGGGAATTTAAATTAAAAAGAAAAAATTCAACCAGGAACAGGGAAAAGAAAAATTGCTGAAAACTAGGACCTGGGAGGGGAAGAATTAGAATAATAGTAAAAAGGACAAAATTATTAATAATAATAGCTTAAAAAAAAAAAAAAAAAACACAGAAAATACAAGCAAGCTAATCACCAGAAAAAAGAAAGCAAAAAAGAAAAAAAAGAGAAGAAAGTCGGTGGAGGGCAGGGCAGGGCACCCAGGCTCCATCTGAGCACACAGACAGTGATGGAGTTCCTGTGGGCCCAGAAGGTAAGTGGAAGTGGGGGAATAGATGTTTTAGGGGAACACAATTCAATCCTTGGCCCCTCCATTCACCAAGCTGGTGTGAGGTATAAGAGTAACAAGAGGAATGTTGCACCTTTTCAGTCTTGCAGGTCTGGAGTGTCCTTGCAGTTGCTGGCAAACAGAATGTGTTCTTAAGCCCCAGGAATCTGTGAGAGCACTGTCTCTTTAAATATCCAAAATAGTCAAGCCACTTTTAAACATTCAAAATGGCAGCATCCTCCAGACCAGCAAAAGTCCACTGCTCAGCCTGCCTTTCTCTTTACCTTCTCTGGTTATTCCCCAGCCACCAGAGCAGTCCTCTGTGCAGTCTCTGGCTAGCAGGGCTGAATTTTAGGTTAGTTCTTAGGTCCTACCACCACTCAGGAATCTCCAAGCTGTCTGTGCTGTGCTGTAAAGATCGCTCAGGATTGCTGTCAGATTGCAGCTCCATCTGTCTCCTTTTTTGGTATTTTTATGCAAATTCTTCTGCTAGTTGGGGTTTAGTCCATTTCTGTATCCTCCCCTTCAAGTCTCAGGGGTCCAGGATTATCTTCTGTGTCTGTGTTAATTGGTTTCCCTTGTCTTTGTTGAAGAAGTTCTGTGGCATCTTTCTGCCTAGTCCACCATCTTACCGGAACTCCCATATATGATGTTCTTGATGCCATCCCACAACTCGTCTTGTGTTTGGTCATTAGTGTTCAATGTGTCTAAACTATTCTTGAGATGGTTTCTAGATTCACATGGGATATACTCAAGGCTGTATTTTGGCTCTCATAGTCTTGACTTATTTTCTTCAGTTTCAGCTTGAACTTGCATATTAGCAATTGATGGTCTTTTCTGCAATTGACCTCTGCCCTTGTTCTAACTGATGATATTGAGCTTCTCCATTGTGTTCTTCCACAGATGTACTCAGTTTGATTCCTTTGTATTCCATCCTTTGAGGCCATGTGTATAGTTGCCATTTATGTTACTGAAAAGGTATTGGAAAGGAGTAAGTGATTGGTCTTGCAAAATTCTATCATACTATCTTTGACATAGTTTCTATCATCCAGGCAATACTTTCCAACCACTATTCCATCTTTATTTCCAAGTTTTCCATTCCAATTACCAATAATGATCAAAACATCTTCATTGCATGTTTGATAAATTTCAGACTGCTGAAGTTGACAGTTTTCAATTTCTTCATCTTTGGCATTAGTGGTTGGTGAATAAAGTGTTTATTGGTCTTCCTTGTAGGCATATAGATAATTCCCTATCACTGAAAGCATTGTACTTCAGGATAGATTTTTGAAATGTCCTTTTGACAATGAATGTGATATCTTTCAATTTGTCATTCCTGGCACTGTAGATCATAAGATTGTCTGATTTGAATTGGCCAAAAATCACTCCATTTCAGCTCACTAATACCTAAGATATCTATCTTTTTATGTTCCATTCTATTTTTAACAAATTCCAATTTTCCTAGATTCATACTTCTTACGTTCCATTTTCCTTTTATTAATGTGTGGTTGTAGCTGTTTCTTACCATTTTGAGTCATGCCCCACCAGCAAGTAAATGTCTCAAAAACTTTTCTCCATCCACATCATTAAGGTCAACTCCACTTTGAGGACATAGCAACTTCCTTTGTGGTATTTCAAATGCATTCCAACCTAAAGGGCTGAACTTCTGGCACTATATCAGATGTTCCTTTGCTATTCATAACATTTTCAGTGGCCAGTTATGTCAGAAGCAGACTGCCACATCTTTCTTCCTAATCTGTCAGTCTGGAAGTTCTGCTGTAACCTGTCTACCATGGATAACCCTGTTGGTTTTTGAAATCCTGTTGACATAGCTTCCAGCAGCACAGCAACATGAAAGTCATCACAGTATGATAAACTGACAGATGAGTGGTAGAATAGATGTTTTAGGGGAACACAATTCAATCCTTGGCACCAATCTTATCTTTTAACTTGCATAATGTTTTAAACCTTTCCTCTGTAACCCATCTCCCAAAATAGGGCAACTCACTTTTCCTGTGTTTAAATCAGTTTTTAGAAGTAGATTAGACTCTGGTAGTTCATATTTGTTGGCTAATTTTGTTTTGTTTTGTTTTAAAGGCTAAAATGTTGACATAGTTGTGTCTCAGAATCAAGGAGCTCACAGGGGAAGTTTGGGTGTTATGTTAGTTTGATAGAAAATCAGTCCTGTGTCAAAACTCTCTGTGGATGTTCAGAATAAACACTTATCAGTCTTAAACAATAACCTTGACAATTGAGATTGGTTCTCAGATGCTTTCCCCCTAAAACAAGTCCCAGGCTTCCCTATCTGAAGATGGGGTGACATGCTTTTATCTTTTTTTTACTTAAAAGGAATTTGTAAGCAATAATTAATGCAACTTCTAAGTCTTTCTTTTCTTTCTCTGTTAAAAAGCTTTTCACAGATGCCAACAAGTTCTGTCAAGGATGAGACTAATGACAATATCATCATATTTACCAGGATCTTGGATGGGCTCTTGGATGGCTATGACAACAGACTGAGGCCTGGCCTTGGAGGTGAGTTGGCCCTTCTTCTTGTAAAAGCTGGTGATGCTCCAAGAAAAGCTGAAATCCACTCCCAGGACTTGTTTACTGTGATGCAAGGCACACTGCACTGAGAATGTTTGGGTTCCTCAAATAGCATCACTGAGAGTATTTGGTTTTTTCATCCATGGCAAGAACTGTGAATCCTTTGTTATCTTTTTCCTCATGCAAATAGCTGAAGCACTCTCTCTCAAACATATCCCTGCACATTCCTACTTTCTCAGAGAATCTTAACTTTCACTTTGGTTCATTTAAAGAAGAACCTTCAACCAGTTCTTAGGCCTTTTTAAAGCTGACAGTACCTTGTGTTAAAGATATGTGTAGTCAACTTCATATTTTCTTATCTAAGTCAGTTCTTTTTGGAAATTCACTGTTAAATGTTCTTTACATCTTAGCATATTATATGCTTAATTTTTCACTAGGCCATAGTCACGGTATCCATTTTGATTATATGAAAGCTTATAAAAAAGTAAACTGCTAATGGAATGTGCTTTCAGGACACAATTTTCACAGCTTAGTTTTGTAGCTCAGTATTGTGTTCAGTTTCAAGTCATACAATGCTCTTGGTTTTAGCAGATTCTGATGCAGTACATTGGAATTTGCTGTGTTAGGTAAGTAGGAACCTTTATGCACATAAATTACTGATGAAGAAATTTAGCTCTTTTCTAGTATTTTCATTTTTAATGGTGAGATTCACTTCAAGGATTAATTGCCCTTTTTCACCTTTTTTGTAATGAAAGGCCAAGTTGGCTATTGAAAACTCCTACTTTCATCTCATTAATTACATCCCCACACCTCTACTCTGCAGCAGTGTGATGTGTTTGCATGTTATCCAGTCCCTTTAAACACTGTCAAGTTGGAGAACCATCCAGAAGATAGATGGGCCTCCTTTAGTCTTCATCACTCTTTCATCCACCTGTATGTGTTTCATGTCCTGCATGAGCTGGACACTGAGGATCCTACAGGAGCAAATGGGCTAGGAAGTGTGGAAACAAACAAGCAGTGTACAAACACACACACACAGTCAGAGATGCACCAAACAGATATGGAATTGCAGCACTCACAGGCTGCTCTGGACCATGACAATATTTTTGAGCAATTTGGGTTATTTAGTGTGGGCACTAATACACTCTGAATATGAGTCTTGCATGATACCTTGGTCCTAGAAGTTGCCAGGGGACAAACACATTTTTCCCCATTATAATTAATAACTTTTATTGCTTTATATATTTTTTCAATATTTTTAATTCATGCAAACACAAAACACTATATAAGGTGAAGTGGATCTCACTTTCCCAGCCATCCCTGCCCCAGGGCCTGTGGTCAACACTCTCTTATACGTCATTTCTCTCAGACTATCTGTTGACTTTAGTTTTGATTGGAGATACCTTTAGAGACCTTTTGCTCTCATCCCTCTGAATTGTCTATGCCTTTTTAAAGCTCCCATTTTTGGAACGACAGGGTCCCACACTATGAGGTTGGTAATACTGTGTTAAATTTATAGATGAGGAACTGAAAATAACACAGAGTCACACACTAGGACCCAGTCCATTTTTATTTATGGTCGCTCCTATAAGGTTGAGAAGTATAATGAAGGCCAGACAGCTTCTATGTGTTATGGGATTTTTTTTTTTTTTCATGTTATAGTGTGGAACCATTGGTTTTGTATATTATTTGTAAGGTTGTCCAAGTTTACCTAGGCATTATAGATGCACTTTGGATGCAAAGAGTGAGCGTGCTCAGAAAATGAGAAAATAAACAACCACAGTGTGTTCCCTGTGTGCTTGGTGACTAGCCGTGGCCCTATGTCTGTGTTTCAGAAAAAATCACTCAGGTGAGGACTGATATTTACGTTACCAGCTTTGGCCCAGTTTCAGACACAGAAATGGTAAGTCCCAGGGCTGGCCCTATATCATAATTTTAAGTAAACAGTGAATAGCTCCACTAATGACCTCTTCCATTTGCTGTAACTGGTGCTTCTCTTTACATTAGGAATATACCATAGATGTGTTTTTCCGACAAAGCTGGAAAGATGAAAGGCTTCAGTTCAAAGGGCCAATGCAGCGCCTGCCTCTCAACAACCTCCTTGCCAGCAAAATCTGGACCCCAGATACTTTCTTCCATAATGGGAAGAAGTCCATTGCCCACAACATGACAACACCCAACAAACTGCTCCGGCTAGAGGACGATGGCACTCTGCTCTACACAATGCGGTAATGACAAGGGGGAGGGGCTTAGTGTGTCCTGGAATATCCCAGTAGCCTGAGCCCATGGCCATGCAGGGATGCAGATGCTGGAAACCTGTCCTTCCTGAAAGCAAGAACTCCTCAGCCTGGAACAGGCTAGATTAGGTTTGGGGATACCATGATGGGAAGGATCGTGGATGGCAGTGAACTTACAGATGATGTTGTAATTTCTACCTTTTAACTTGTCTGTTGTAATGTAGTTTGTTTCCCTGGGCTACTAGAGGTCCATAGCTTTTGTTATTTGCATTTATTTGTTTCACAATCAAGTGCATCTTTGTAGTCATGGCCCATATAAAGTAAGATAGAATTCACTTCATTTCATAAATTTATCTCTGGAAAACCTTTTTATTTCAGTGTGCAAACTTTTGAATTTTTAAAGCCCATATCTCTTATGTTTTGATAACATTCCAATGCTGAGTTTCAATTGTAGTATTTTTACTTTAAAATTATCATTAATCATTTTTCATTCTGAATTATTCATTGCCTCTGAGAAAGTCAATAAAGTCACCAGTGAGAATGTCTCTGCTAAAGCTTTTCAAAGTTTTAGTGGTGGGCCTTCAAAGACTTACAAGAAGATTAAAAAAAAAAAAAAAGCAGTAAAGCCAAGTGTATATGCATGCATTTATATAAATTTGGTGTTATTGGCTGCCTCCCTCTAAAATCTTACAAAATAATTATTCTAAAAATAAATAAACTTTAGACTGAAAAGAAGTAACCCTAGTCAAAATAATATTAATGCTGCCATGTTTGAAGGTTATCTTTGCTAACATATGTCTGAGGACCACTTTGGCATGTGTCCCAAACATGTGACCAGAATTGGATTCTTATTATAACAACTTGTTGAGCAGCTCTGATAAGTTGTCTCATGGCATCTTGACATTGGGTCCCCTGCATTGACAATGTGATTTTTCCATAGATGGAGACATGAGTGAGGAGCACCAGCTTCCCTGGGCAGTGCTTTTCTAATGTGGAGTCATATATTGAAAGGCTAAGAATAGTGGAAGGACTGAAAGGAAGTCCTCAGTCATTGTTTTCAGTTGTCATTGAGTGGATTCCAAATCATGGCAACTCCATGTGTACAGAGTAAAACTGCATTGTATAGGGTTTTCAAGACTGCATATTTTGTAAGCAAATGCTAAGCTTGTCTTCCAAAGTGCCTCTAGATGAGATTGACTGACAATCTTTTGGCTAGTAGTTGAGCACTTAACTGTTCCCACAACCAGAAGTCAGGCAGAGAAGTTAATTGAATGTATTCTGCTCAAATATGTAGACAAAGAGCAGGTTTGTATATAGGATGCTTGGCCCTGGGTTGGATCAGAGAACCACACAGTGTTGGCAGGAATAATTGAATTCAGTTATTGTAAAGAAGTGTGGTAGGCCTGCTGTGCATTTATGTTCAGTTCATAGAATAAAAGTACTCCCAGTCCCCATCACATTATTATCCTTGAATCACACCTGGTTCCTATCCCTAAGAGGTTTTATTTAAGTCCTAAGTCTAAAAATACATCATAAAACATATAGTTTCATTTTAATAGGACAGCTGGATGTTCTTTATCAACTAGTGAGTGCATAAGTGCTTTTGCTGGGTTGTTAGTGTGGCCCATTGTTTTAAAATGAGGAGAAGCAGGACAGAAGTGCATCAGGCATCTTCACTAGTAGCCCTGGCAGCTTGGTGACATTGTCATCTTTAAGGGAGACAGGGAAGTGTCAGACAATCTGCTCAGGTCACACAGCTAGTAGGAGAGCAACAGGAATTTGAGTTCATGTCTGAGCACTTACTATGTCTAATCCACTACAGTTGCAATTGTGAGAGATGCAGTACTACTAGACATACACAGGATTACAAACTAGTTCCTTTCCTAAGTCTGTCTTTAAGTTGAATTTATATGTAAGTTGGAACAGTTAGATATGATCAAATGTTTGTCTTAGTATATAGTGCACCTTTGTATGCATAAAAGACATTAAGAAACACTTCTAGATATACTAAAATATCTTTAACATAATAATACAGCAGTAATAATATAATATTTTGATGTGCATCACAAAGTAGCATCCCTATGTTATTATGAAACAGTGTATGTATCTCAAGTTTTTAATTACAATAGGCTTTTCAAGGGTTGGTTTTTAACTACAGGTTGTATGTAAATTAAACATTAGTAAACAAGGGACTGTCTATAATGGCCTTGGCATTATCCTTGTCAAAGTGCCAGGCCCAGGAGGAAGCCAATGAGAAGGAGTGCAAGTTGTCACAGTAATCAGCAGTTGTTTATGCAGAAAAAGTCTGCTAATGAGCTGAAAAGTTGATAATGAGCCTTTTGAACATTTCAAATATGGAAATAGTTCCACTTGAAAGTGCTGTGAATTAAAAAATGTGATAATTTTTGGTTTAATATTTTTACTTACTGATTTAGCAAAGATGGTGAAATGATAATGCTAATTACTAGTGCAAATACTAATTATAAGGTGAATGGCCTCCATCTTTGAGTGCTTAAAGGGTACAACCTATCTGTGCTGCAGTTGGGCCTTGAAACACTGGTGACATACTTTGACCTGGTAATTCCTGTGCAGAGTATATTTTAAAGAAATGAGTAGGAATATGGACTAAGCTTTCTGCACAAAGGACTCCACTAAGATATCACTTATGATAGCAAACATGAGACGAAATATAAAATTAGGTAATGTTTTTTTAGCAAAAACATTGTATGTTCTAAATTTTTCTTTTTTTTTTTTTTTTGGTCTCTGGACGTAATTAAAAATGATGACACATTAAAAATATAGAACAAATTTGGATGCGTGTAATATGATTTTAACATAAGACATATGTCTGGCAATGTTTGAAAAAATAAATTTCTAAAAAGTATCTATGGGTTATTCTTAAAGATGATGGACTAGGCAGACACAACACCTTGACCCTCCAATGAAGACCTGAGAAACCAAGTGAAATGGATTCAGATGACAGAGCATTATAACAAAGGATAAAGAAGCAGATCAAATATTGACTGGAGGTAGAGTCTAAATGAAAACAGTGAACAAGGAGACATACAGAGCAGTTAATTGCCAACTGACTGGGCACAGTGTGGCCATTTTATTGCAAGCAGCATTCTGATCATGGCAGGAACTAGATAACTGATTTTGCTAATTCAGGACTGCACTGGCACCCACATCAGTGAATGGAGACTAAAGAGATGCAATCTCCTCTTATAGCTCAGCCAACCTGCTGGCGACCAGAGATGAGCCCCCTCCAATCCTTACTCACACAGCAGCTGGTCAGATCATCTTACCCTACAGCACTTTGCCACTTTTTTTTTCTTTTTCCTTTTTTGTTTTCATTTTACTTTTTCTAGTTCTTCCTACTTCCCCTCCTTTTTTCATTAATATTTTGTTCTGTTCCGTTCCTTCTTCCCTTTATCTTCCCATCACCCCCCTTTTATTAATCTGTAGAGTGGGTGACCTGTCCCTGCTACCTCTGTGGTCAGCAGTGCCCACCCCTCTGTGATAGGTGGTCCAAACTATCAGAATGCAAGGGCCACATTCTTGCTGCAGCCATGTTTGGAAGCTAGTGCTTGTGCCAGTATTATGCTTCCCTCCCCACCCCAGCGTTTATAGTAATACTTTTTTTTTTTTTTTTTTCCATTGTGATTTGGGTGAAAGTTTACAGAGCAAATTCACTTTCCATACAGCAATTTACATACACTTTGTCTCATGATGTTGACTATAGTTTACCACAATGTAACAGTTCCCCTCCTACTTCCTACCCATAGCCACCTCTTCACTGAGTCCTTCCCTTCATATGCTCCTGCCCCCTGAGCTGTCTGTCTCACTGTTCATACACAGCCCTTCTATTCTTCCATGATTATTCTCTCCAAGGAGTGTATCTACCTAATGTAAATGTTCAGCTCATATGCCCGTCTTTTGTTTGACTAGAAAACACAGGAGTGGGTTCAGTTCCAGACCTGAAGGGCAGCCAGGGGCCATAGTCTCACTGGTTCTATCAGGCTCTATCAGACCAGCAAACCTGGTCCCTTTTTCTTTTTTTCAAATGATTTTGAGTTTTGTTCCACCTTATTCTTCCACTCTACCCAGGATCTCCTACACAGATTCCCCTGTGAGTGGTTGACAGTGGTAGCTGTTAACCATCTAGTTCTTTTGTTCTCATAGTCATATAGGCTGAGGATTTCATGGTGCACCAGTCACTTGAACTAATTGTTTCCATAAATCTTTGATTTGCTTCATTTTTATTTGCTCTGGATGAGGGGAGACCCATCGTTACATCTAGATGGCCGCTTGTAAGCTTTTAAGATCCCAGCCGCTACTCGCCAAAATAGGATGTGGAACAATGTTTTGTGTAGTATGTTATGCCAGTTGAGCTTGATGTCCCCTGGGACTATGTTCCTGAGCCCACAGGTCCAGCTACTCGCTTCCTCTGGGTAGCTGACTGTGGCCAAGAAATAACTACACCCTGCCACTTGTCAGCTCTATTATATACCTGGGAAATCTTACAGAACATAGCAGTACACTTGCAGAAATATTGTCTGCCAATCCTATACATGGTCTTGGGCACACTCCCCCCTGCATAGACATACCTAACAGTTCAGACTGTCCACCCATCTATCCACCCATATATCCATGTTTGCCTTCACTGACAATGCAGTACTATATGTGCAAAAAGGTTGATCTTTGTTGTCTGTACCTCCCATGAACCTCTCTATGTCTTCCTCTTCCTCAGTGCCACTGTGTTGATCACTCACATTTGGTACATTGCCCTTCTCTTCACCCAATCAATACTTGTCTCTACCTATCTAACTGTGTTCTCTCCCTTCCCCTCCCACCCCTGGTAACTAACAAAGAATATTTCCTTCCATATAGAAACCTTTCCTTGACTTTTTACAATAACTGACTAACACAATATTTGTCCTTCTGTGATTGACTTATTTCATTCAGCATAATGTCCTCCAATTTCATCCATG